AGCTGTAGATCTGCAGATGTGAAGATGAGCAGAGATGTAGATGTGCAAATGTAGAAGATGTGCAGATGTGAAGATGTAGATGAGACGTGGTTCTACAGATGTTTTTACGAAGAACCCTTCGCAGACGCTCTCGGGAACAAAGTATTTTCAGACTAGTCCAATCCAAAAAACGAAAAACACAAAAAACATCAGAACTATGTTGAGGATGAGGGGATTGGACAAGTATGGAAACCCTTGTTTTTTGTTTTTGCTTTGTCATCCAGGACTGTTTAATCCAGATTAATCTGAAGTAATCTTCCTTAATGAGCCCTACATGTCTGCTCCACAACAATGTCATACACTCAAACCTTCATCTGCTGCTCATCTGCAGGATTTGGCTTGTAGCTCCTGTTTGCTTTCCTTGCTGTGTGTTTTCTCTTATCTTCTTGCTGACCTCTCTACAAGTTTTATCCCACCTCCATCACTACATTCAAAATGCTTCTTAATCAAACCTAGCCTATAATTACTTTCTGATTAAATATCATACCCTTAATATCATATCGCTTCCTTCTATCCTCATCAGCCTTGAGCTTCTTATATTCATACAGCATAGTGTTATTCTTGAACATCAAGTCTATACAGTGATTAGCATAGGCTTCAAACTCAGGATTTTTCAACTGCCTTGTATCACCAGTGGCTACTACAATCTTGTCACAAATCAAAGCCCGTTTGCCTACAGTATGGAGCTAGATTTCACCAAAGACTATCACATCATAGTCTGAATTATCCAGTTTATTGAACTTATCATCGCCATAAGATATGCCAAAAAACTTGTTGATGGGTACTCCCTCTGCACCGCATTCTTGATTCAAATTATCAGTGGGCACTACAAATATAGCGTTGTATTTTCTCTCCTGTAGGTGCTTACATAAAATGACTTGCCTGTTCCTGCAACATCACCCGTAATCAGCAGAGTTTTGGCAAGATGTGTTCATTGATAACCTCACCAGTGTTCCATTCATCTTTCACATCACCGGTTTCATTTGAATACCCGGTTTTGTTTTCAAAGAAGCTTGGTTTTCTACAAGGGTTGTGATGGAGACCTGAACCCATTACAATACGTCCATGTGCCAATACCATTGCCAAACTTTAAGGGACTCTTTGCCTTCCCTAGATTACATTTATCAATCACAAATGCATCAGTCTTTGCTGAATACACATGTATATATATCATTCTGCTTCAGTTTCTCATGGTTATGATTTTGTAAAATCGCCTCTTTGATAAACCTATATCCATTCTTTAGAGTTTTGGTGTCACTTATGCTTAAAGCATAATGCTTATTCACATTCAATATTTTAGGAAAGCAAATTCATTTTGCTCCTCACCTATCTCAATTTCATTGCCCCTTTCATCTCTCTAAATTAAGCAATCAACATCACTAATCATAATTCTCCCCTCACCCTCCTTCATATACTCAGTGAGTATATTTATGTCACCACCATATTTGTTTGTAGTAAAGGGCATCAACAATCGCCGCAGGCGCCAAAAAATATAAGGGATGCGCACAGTTTTTCATAATCTAGAAACTTAAGAATTGGCCCGCCGCAGCCGAAGGCGCCCCAAAAATAGAACTCAAGTTCCAGAAAATCTATCTAAGCTCCGGACTTTTTCTCTAAGAACCCCCTGAGACCCTGACACACAGAGCTCCAGGCCTCAGGTTGTTTGGTTGTTGGTGTTTCTGGTTTTGCTTTCACATTTTTCACTTTTATCACTTTTTGTACGATTTTGAGATTTTTCTGTGACCAAATGAGACTTTTTGATTTTTTCTTTAGATTTTCTCTCTTGCTAATTAATATTCCACTTTACTTGCCTTTAAAGGTTCTGAGGTGTTGAGCTTTTTCTGAGATTTTTTGAGATTTGTTCAGCTCGGCAAAGCAAATATGTAGTCAAAGACGGGTGGTAGGCATAAAGTTTTCTGCTGTGGATTTTTGCATTTTTCTCACTGGTACACTTTGGACCTTCAGGCGAGAGGACTGTAGTAAGCGGATTCCTAGTTACCGCCATGTGCCGCCGCAAAATCTATCTGCTTACTGGGGCCTGGTTGTCATGTAAACCTTATTCAATCCTTCAATAACGCAAGAAGACTTAAGAAGCGTATTCAAATTTAAACAGGGACGCGTTTCAAAGGAAATTAAAACAGGAAAGAAAGCAACGTGGAAACTCATAGAGGAAACAGCCCGCGCTGTAGAAAAGCAGATTTCAGATGTGCTTAGTGCATTTCAGTGGAGGGGTTTGGCATGTGGGTTGATTTTGCATTGGCTCAATGGCAAAAGCACGCGGGCCCGAATATGAAGAAACTTGGAGAGTATTTCGTAGGATGTCACCGTGTCTTAAATGAACATATATCCATATATAGGCATATATAAACCCTATGTATCAATGGACAATGTTGGACGGACAAACAGCCTACAGGTATCTGAGCAGACATTTCCGATGAAGAACAGTAAACAATACTTTGTTTTCCTTTCGGGGGCCCCCAAGACTTCCCTCAGCATGGCAGAACCGCCGCCTGCTTTGGTGGAGCGCAGCAAGTGAGCAAGAGGTCAGCCGACACCCCTTCACCCCTTCGTCCCGGTGACCTTTCGCCTCTTCGTGACCTTCTAGCCGGTTCCGAAGGTCGAGAGGTGAAGGGGTGTCGGTGTCGGTGTCTCCCTGTGTTTCCCCCGTAAAGGAATAGACACAGAGACAGGGGGAGAGCAAAAGTGCAAAAAGTAGCTAGTTAGTTCTTAATTTTTAGATAGTTTCCTGGTCTAATTCCTTCAGTTCCTGTCTTTCCTTGATGTTTGAAGAGTTTTGAAAGAAATTTTTGAAAAAGCAAAAATTTATTGAACAGCTTCGAAGAATCGGATGAAAACGGGTGCATTTATTTGCTTTTTAGCCTGTTGAAAGGACAAACACCACCCCAGTAGCAGTGTAGCGTAATCAACATCATTTACTTCATCATCATCATCATCATCATCATGCGCATGACCATGAATATAAAAAGGCAGAAGATTCAAAACAGCACACAGCCCAGTCAGCAGATTTGGAATCTGCTTACTGCAGGATGTTTACCAGCTGAATGATGTTCAAACAAAAGGTTAACTTTTAAAACATAAATACAACCTATTGTATTACTTTCAGTTCCATGGTTTCCATCACACTGTCATGTTCTTTTTATATCCTGTCATCTTGAGTTGACTTTTCTTACTATATA